TGATATTTTTTGTATGCTAGGAGTAAAATAATTTGCTCTGAAATTACTTCTAAACCTGAGTCTTTCTTGACTTTTGTTTACCTTTTCCTCTTCCCTTTGCAGATACAGGTTTTTCATGTATTGTGTGCCATACATATCTACTCACGTACTGAGTGGTCCTTAGGGTTTCCTCATGAATGAATGCTAGAACACGGGATCAGAACGGATGTCAAGAAATCATGTGGTTGTTGTTGGACATTCATTTTAGGTCCATAAACATTCGCTGAGACCTTCCTTACATGAACCACACGACCATAAATGATAGCATTTGGCGCTCACCAGAAGTATCGCCTATACAACCTGGCTAGCTTTCCTGTGTTTTTAAAGTTCTACAGTGGCCAGACATTTCAGTGACAAGCTTTTTAAAGAAATACCATCCTGTGTGTGCAGTAAAGTCTTTGACGTCATTGTTCACAAGTAAGAGAAACATCAGAATACCAAATTTAGTCAGACTTTTAATCATTATGTTTCTTTAGTATTGAATCTTTTAGATTTGCATTATTGTGCCTGAACTTTGAATTGCTGTGATTGCCATTGGTTATACCAGAATTTAAAAATGTACTTTGGGTACTTATTTTAAAATGACTTGAGAAAGTGGGAGTGAAGGTGGGAAGATACAGAAATGTAACTTTACAGTTTCCATATCCATTTCTGAAATTTGAAGTTCAAGTTTAATAGAGTTTATCTATAGATAATTGAGGTCAAACTTGAAATACCCGTATTCGGATGCTGTTTTACTTTTACTTACTTTTTCTTGTTGCTGAGACAAAACACCTGATATTCAAAGTTAAAAGAGGAATGGTTTATTTGTCTTAGACTTTGTAGTGGTTTCAGTTCACCGTTGGCTGGCTCCAAGCAGGGTGACACGGCAGAGGGACACCACAGGGCAGAAACAGTTCATAACGGGCAAAAGGCAGCAAGACGGCCGGCTGCGATCGAAAAGGGATGCGTGGCAAGTGATGATAGCAGCTTCGTTCTGTCCCTTCACATTCTGTCTAGGGTGCTCGCCCTTAGGTACACACAGAACTGTGCCAAGCCAATCAGTGGACCGATTTAGTACTCGCACACCCTTAAGCCCAGCACCACATACTCCAGATCCAGCCACCTCTGAAAAAGCCCACTGCATGAGGCTCTGGGGGACCTCTAGACCCAGCCATAACAGATGCTGCCACCTCCAAAAATGTCTGGCTTCTCTTTTCATTACATTATACAAAGGTTTATGGGCTTTGCATAGTTTGGAATAAAAACAGATGAATTTCAATAAGGACAAATACAGCCTATTTTTACTCACAACACTTCTGACACCACATGTATAGGATTTTGGACACTGGTCAACTTTCCAACTCTCTGATACCAAGAGATTTCTGTAGTTCAGTTCGTTTCTGACTCTGATTATCTGAAAGTAATACATACCCTACAGTTAAGGACCCAGACCCTCAGGAGTAGCCCCATTTTAGACAGATTTCAATCCCAAGTCCCATGCTTCATGAACTCCTGTCAGACAGCTGTAAGTCAGGGTTCCCAAGACCCAGTCCTTGGATTCAATAATTTGCTAGAACAACTCACCAAATTTAAAGAAAAAATTTTACTTAGAATTATTAGATCATTGTAAAGGATACTGTAGGACAGAAGTAAACATCCGTGTCAAAAGTTACACAGAGAGAGGCCCAGGAGTGTATCACGGCTACAGCTGGTATTCTCATGGAGTCGGGCTGCACCAGTCTCCAGAAGTGAAGATGTATGTTCACTGACCAAGAAGCTGTCTGAACCCCATCCTTCACAGGTTTTCTGGAGGCTTCATTATAAAGGTGTGATTTTAGGTTAAATCATTGGCAATTGGTGATTACTTCAGTCTCAAGCCCCTCTCCTTTCCTCAGGGGTTGTGGGAATGAATCTTCCAGCCCTCCATTCATGGCTTGGTCTTTCTGGTGAGAATCCGTCACCTTGAAACTACCCAGGGATTCCCCGAAGAGTGGCCTCCTTAGAATCGGTGACATCCTTGTTACCCAGAAAAAAAATCCCAAGAGATTTAGAAAGCTGTGTGCCAGGAACTGGAGACAGAGACCGATCACATATTTCACATACAGTTGAAATGATGTAGTAGAAAGGATTGAAGATGACCAAGGCATGACTAAGCAAGGAACCCATTTCTAAGCCTTTGGGATTCTGTTCGTCATGGGTTATTTTGCAATTGTTTGAAATACTTTAATGGCATGCTCTTTTAAGTTTCATCCCACATAGGCCATGCTCTGATATTATGCTCATTTGTGTGGCTGAGCAGAGAGATACAGAAATTCCATGCCGGATGCACGAGCACAGGGTCACCCCAGAAGAGCAGGAGGAGACTGCAGTGTGCATAGAGCAGTTCCCTCTTAATCTCAGACGATGCAGTGTGGACTCAGCCAGGGACGATAAGCATTTACACTGCAGCCTGCAGTCCCGAGGGGAGAGGTTATCTGAGGAACAACTTGCTGTGTTCTTTACTTCCCCATACAGCTGTGTGTGCACTAAGGCAGAAGATAAAGGGACCACTCTTACTACAGGGGTCCTGGGGCCACATCCAGGAGCTAGGGACAAGAGATCTTTTGGCGGGGTTGGGAGCACAGGGTGCAGGGTAAATGTGGACTTGGCTGAAGGCTTTGTATCAGTGGTCAAGTGTAGAGCGGGCTCGGTGTGGTGGGTGATTCAGCTTAGCGAGCAGAGGTTCAGAGCAAAAAGTACAAGAAGCAGAGTGGATGCATGAGTGGAATTGAGCGGGTTAAGCCAGTATGAGAACCAGAAGCCCACGTTGCTGCTGGTCCTCTCCTACCCTGGGAACGAGGGAGTGAGAGATGGAAATTCCCAGGGATCCCTGGTGATGGAGGAAGCCCAGGAAAAGCGACCATTTCCTGTGGTGGGTGAGGCAGAGCCCAAGGAGAGGCAGCCTTGTAGCTGTAGCTGGTGAGAGGGATGGCTGCAGCCCAGAGAGGCATTCCAAGGCAGAGAGGGACACAGAAGGACTTCGGGAAACTGTGCATTCACCTGGGCCATTTATTATAGTTGCAAATGTGTTGTCGGTGCCCCAGGGCATTTCTGAATTGTGAGAGTAATAATGACTACTCAAACTTGGAGAGTACCTTCAGGCGAAGTTCTGTCATAATTTTAGAATAAAAGGTTAAAGGGTTTTGTGCTTAAAAGGAGAAAATATTTACCTGCAGAAGCCACAAGTGTGTCTCAGTTCCCACCATTAGGGACTGTGAACACTGCCGTCTGACAGGAACTTTGAATCTTCCCACTCAGATATCAGCGAGTCGTTTTTGGCTTAGTTCGTACGCCTCACCCCTGTGGTGTATAGCCCTGGCTTGTCATTGAGAGTCACATGTGTCGATCTGAATTAACTCCACCAACTGTTGCTTTGAATTCCTTTTCTTTTCTGACTCACCTTCCTCCGCCACCTGTAAAAAGTAAGCACTTTATTTGCAACGTAAACAATGAAAATAATCACCTGCGTCTAAAAACGCTGCTTTTCCTTATGATGCAATTTTTATAAAGTGTTGATTGTAAGTTCTTAAAGAATTAATAAAAGCTGCAGCATATTCAATGAAAGTCATCAACCGCACCTAAGAATATTGCCTTGTGCTTTTCCTTACGCATATAACTTTTATAAAGTGTTGACTGTTAAGTTCTCCTTTGATTCATTTTTCTCATATCAGACTATTGTTTCTTGCTCTGATTGCCCCTCACATACATACACACACACACACACACTGCACACCCCCCGATATAGTAACACTAATTACTTCACCCACGTTCCGTATTTACTGTGCATCTTTGTGTACAGACAACCTTTCCAGACTGCCATGGCGACATGAAAAGCAAAAGGGTCCTTGTAGTTCTCTGCTTATATTCTGTAATTTCTTTGGCAAACTACTGAGCTGTGGAGAGTTTCACAAGCAGTTCCTCATGCCTGCTTGCCTCTTGGACCTGAATGGTAGGGACCAGCTTTTGTGGTTGCAGGTGGGGGAGGCAGGCACAGCCCACCTGGCTCCGTATCCTTCTCAGTGTTAGATAGAGAGTGCATCATCAAATTAATTAAAAACCCACTTTGGATTTACAGGTAAAAAGAGAATATCTGGGTCCCCAGATATTTTTGTACTTCACGCCCAATTGATAAATTTGGAAATAGCAAGATTTATTTGCAGCTGTTATTTCCTGAGGGACAGACTGCAAATCCATTTATTCACCCACTCAGCTTATACAGTGTGAGTGATGAGGTGACTCTCATCTTAGCAAGATAAATTCCGGTGTCCAGTCTGCTGCTGCATAGCTGAAGCGTATATGGACACTTGTTTTCTCTGGGAGGTAGGGAAGCCCTAGCACTCGTGCATCAGGTTGCTGCAAACAGGATACAAAACTGCCAGACACCCATTCCACAGTGGGTACTGCTCATCTCCACAGAGCAGGTGGCGGAGTCTGATTGCGTACAAGGTGCCTTTGGATTCTCATGTGTGCACAGCCCAAGGCCGAGGGCTCAGTACCATTAATGGTGAGGCAGAGGTGGGGGCACCTGTCACCAGCCAAGTGCTTATTGTCTTTGGGATGCAGTTCCGCTAGCGAGGGACTGTGCTTACTGAAAGTTCTCTGCTGTGTCTGAGGCGACCGACTGCCCCACTCCTCTGCTTGCTTCCATGGAGTACACCCAGGAAGATCAAAGCGATGTGACGCTGGGCTTTCTGCTTAATGTAAATGTAAGCATGACCGCAAAGGCTTGTTGCCTCTCCCTTGGAAAAGCAATTTAGCCTGCAGAAAATAATTAAGTCCTCAGTCTCTTGCAATAATTAGAAATTTGAAACGGGCAGAGTTAATTATTTCCATCAGATTTCGGTTGCCTAAGAAAATGCTCAAGGATGGAATCCGGGCAGTCTTGAAGTAATTCGCGATTCCATCACTTTCAGTATTTTTTCATCTTTTTCTCCCTGCAGGATCATGCAGATTTGCAAAGCCATTTCTTCACAGTCGGGATGAAGCTAGAGACAGTGAATATGGCTGAGCCCTTTCATATCTGTCCTGCGTCAGTGACCAAGGTGGGTCTGGCTCCTTTGATGCAGAGTGAATCAGCTGATGAAATATACTCATGCGAGGCTATACAGCGACAGCAGATAAACCAGAGGCCTCTAAGCTGCTGCTACCTGAGGCCTGTCCCTGTCAGCAGCAGAGTGAATCTGATGAGATGCCTCTTCTTAGAATGGATAGGATGAATTGTTTTCTTCTGACAGATTTGTCGAGTTTCACGTTATAATCATTATGGGAGTAATGGCTCGGTCCTTCTGCATGGATACCAGTGATAAATGATCTAGACATTCCTCATGTACCAACTGAGTTAAGGTCCCGAGACCAGTTCCTTATATGAATTGATTGCTAAACGAGAAATTGTATATAGTGTGTACATCATGATATTCAGAAGAGAGAAATGGTCAAAGAAAATTCTTAACTTGATGACTGTACTTTTATTTGTATAACTCTTACCTCCAGCACTATAATGTATAACAGAATGTTAAACTATGATAGATACTGTGTAATCAGCAACAACTTCAGCACTATGTAAACAAGGTATACTGTACAAAAAAAAGACATTGAGGTTCTAGAACCAAGGTATATAGAACTGTACGAAAAAAAAGACTCCAAAACGATGAGTAGTAAGTCTGAGCAGCAGGTCTGAACAGTCTGATAATCGGGTGGGTCATTAATTGATCGTCTTAAAGTTGAAGTTTGTGCGCTTCCTTTGGTCCACCATCCATTAAAGAGTTTCCTATTGAAAGTGGTCTTTGGTCTTTTTACTCTGAATTCTGGTAGATGTCACAAGTTTTTGTAGAACTCATCAGTTTCTCCCTTCTGAAACTTGACCACCATCTGCCGTTGTCCCAGCGGTGGGCGACAGCAGTACCAGCTGCCCACTGTCCTGTGTACACATCACACGGTCCTCCTTCTGAAAAGCCTGGACCTTAGACCACAAACGGAGAGCTGGCGTGCCGCCCCTGTCAGCGGTAGTGGCCTCTCACATTGTCATGCCTTTGCATAACTGCCATTTATGTTAGAAAGTGGCACACTCATTGTAATTCTTTCCACACACTGTTATCTAGCTGGGTAAACTTTCGATGACAGTCATTCGGTTTTTTCACAATAATAATTATCCCATTGCTCCTCTGAGTATGGAGAGTGGAGGTGTTTTCAGTGAGTTTTAAAGTACATCTAGAAAATGTTTTCTTTGTACCAAAGGTAAATTACTTAAGCCATTCTGTCTCACACGTATCTGTCCTCTTCTGCCCCCGTGTTGTAAAGCTGCACTGTGCTTCTGTCTCTTAGGACTGGATGTAGGCATCTGTCCAGGTTCAGTAATCATCTTCATGCAATGAAATATCAGAATATGCATGGTGTAATGGATACTTAAAATTAAATGTATTTCTCTGAACACTTGCAAATGTTTTAGAACATCGTGTTTCAGAATACAACACATTGTGTTACCATCACTTATCATAATGAAAATTTCATTTAACCCCCTTGAGTTTTTTGTGACTGGCACAACTGTTGAGATAAGTAAATGATATTAAAGCAAACAGACAAGAATGCAGACAGACAGGCACGCATGTACAGCAGGTACATGATCAACCTTTAGCAGAAGAGCAGATTATGATTTTCATGTTCCAAAAGAGTGAGATATTGACAGTTGATGGCAAGGATGACAGTAGCATTGGTGTGTGGAATGTATTGATTTAGAGGAAGGGATATTGAATTAGAAGTCTCTGGGAGGCTGAGGCAGGGGGTTAGAGAGTTTGAGCCCAAGTGGGCAACTTAGCACGTGGTGCAACACTGTCTCAAAATGAAATATAAAAGAAGGGCTGCAGATGCAACTCAGTGTGAAGGCCATGGGTTCCGTTCTCGACACTATTGAGGGAGATCTGGAGATCTGGAGGTTTGGAGCCTGGAGTTCGGTTTCTGCCTTTCATCTCTGGGCTATGCAATTGTGGGCAAATTAGTTAACTGATCTGAACTCTCGATTTGAGACCCGTGGGATCTGGACCAATAGAAACCCAAAGCAATGTTTGTGGAACGTGAACACTGATGAGTCTGGTGAAACTTGCTAAGGTCTTCCTTTGAAGTGTGTTCAAATGAATGTGCATTTTAACCAGTTTTGGAAATTTCTTCATTTCATATTTATGGGTCTTATGGCACTCAGAGATCCTACTAGCAGAATTTTGTATTTTAAAAACGTGTACATGTGTGTGATTCATTGTGTGTATGCACATGCATGGTGGAAGAGATCACATGAATTTCACAGGTATTCACTGAGCGCTTACAGGCACCGTGTGGACAACAGGCCATGGACCAAGTCTGCGCTGTTGTGGGACTTATACTGTAGTGGGGAGAAACAGACAGTGAGTGTATCACGTGGTAAATGCTAGGGCGAAAAGTGTACCAGGGACAGAAAGGGCTTGTGGGCATTGGTATGGAGGAGGCTGTGACTGCATCAAGGCTAGCAGGGAAGACCGTTCGTGTTTGGTGCTTTGCTCCTTAAAGCTGACTTGCAAGGGCAAACTTCAGGCAGGAGAAGCAGCACTATTTACTGGAATTAACGTGATAGTCATCTCCATGCAGTGAAGTGAGTTTCTGCTCCTGCTTAACTTTGAACTAGGTCGCTTTTAAAAAATACTGTATAAGTGAAGGAGCCAGGTATTACAGCTTAGTAAAAATGTCAAGGTTTCTAAAGAGAGACTTGTTTATCTTCTTTTTCCTGGCTTGTTTTACACCCTAGTTTTTTGAGTGTTGAGGGCTGTGAGATTTTTTGGCTCCATGTTTATCAACATGCCTTGTTCCTTTTCATCATTTGATGTTTTTTTCTTACATTCATTGGATATTTATCCAGTTTATATGCAAAGTATTTCCTATGCACTTGAGAATACGTTGATGAATAAAGAAGGGGGCACTGTCCTCAAGGAACTCCAGATCGATTGGTAGAGACAGGTGTGTTACCAGTCCACAGAAGGAATGAGGATTTTGGCATGTAAATTTGCACCTGAGGCTTTGGGAACACAATGCAGGGCCTCTCACTTCAGCCAGATGAGGGGCATTGAAATTGGAGAGGCACCTGGAGCAGTACAGTGAGTTTGACACATGAGCCAGGCAGCTGGGGCACTGCAGTGAGTGCGTGAGATGCTGAGGGGCCAGGCTTTGTGTCAGCCGTTTCCGTCGGGTAGCACGGTGGGGTGTTCTGGAGGGCGTGATGTGGGGTGGGGGTGGAAGTTTCCCATGCCAGATCTCGCAGGGTGCTTTGTTGGGTGCTTCTGTGTGAGGAGTTCAGTGTCAGCTGGAGATCCTAAGAGTGGCACTCATCGTCCACTGTAGCTGTTGTCACTGCTGGGGTTTGCCTGTCTTGCTGATCCGTTTGTTTTGCTGCCTGCTATGGCCACTGTTTACTATCTCGAAGGGATTTAAAAAATTCTTCTCTGTATTTTATTCATTGATCTTGCCATTAATTTAACCATATGATCGATTCAACCTTTTAACCTACTAGATTAATTTGGTGATATGCATTCAAATGCCAGACTGTGCTCAGATCAAGTTGATGAAATATATCAATTGCCCGTGAAAACTGTGCCGGCATTATCTAAGTAATGCCAAGAAATGAACTCTGCATTTACTTTTTTTTTTCCTTCAGGTTTTCAACAATCATTTTTTTCAAGTCACTATTGATGACCTAAGGCCAGAACCTAGTAAGCTCTCGATGCTGTGCCATGCAGATTCTTTGGGAATTTTGCCAGCTCAATGGTGCCTTAAAAATGGAGTCCGTCTCACTCCTCCGAAAGGTTGGTATTCTGTGAAAGTGTGCGGGATTTGAGTGGTCCGGGATGGTGTCTTCCTGTCACTGAGGTGATACCTTTGTTAATGTGGAGAAGTTCGGGCTGCGAAGACTTGATGTGGTGAGTAGTGTGTTCTTAGTAAACGCGACATGCTCTAATGTCCGCTCTCGTGCCATCCTCCAGGCGGTGCAAATGACCGGGCTTTTCTGCCCACTTCCGTCGACGGCAGAGCCTCTGCGCGTTCCTGTCTTATTGGTAGCTGCGCTGCTGTCTCGCAGTGATAAAGCATGTGCTGTTGCTAAGTGATTGAGGTTAAAAACTTGAGAGTGTCAGAGATGTGGCTGTAAAAATGCAACAAAATGCTAATGAAGCATTTCTTCAGACTTTTATTTCCAACAAGTCACATTTTCCCCAGAGCCTCGTTCCTCTCAGGTATCCAACAATTGGGTGCTGTAGTACGTTAAAATAATTCATTTGGGAGCTGGCATGCATGAAAGTCATTTTAGACTGGGACCTAAGAGCCACGTATTTAATAGGTAACATCCTTGTAGTTTAGCAGTGGGCTTTGTTGTCTCCCAAAGCTTGTGTAGGGAGGAACACAGTAAAATGAACAAAATGAAAGCCAGAGGGAAAAAAAGGAATTAGCAGAAGAGAAAATTGAGGCAAAATTAGAAACATAAACTTATGTGGGGGTGGTTTAAAAGACAAATAAAATAAAAAAGGAGTTTTACACGAAACTTTTCAGCTCTCCAGGGATTGGAAAGCCAGCATCCACCATATCGAGAAAATAAGTCCCCATTTTTATGCTGGCTGTCACAAGTTCTCTGCATCGTTTCATTGTGTTGTGACTGGGCTCATCCATAGCATAACTGCTCACTGGGCCTTTACCCTATTTCCCCTCCTAGCTCTGCCCTTTGGAAGCAATGCTTCTGCTTATTCCTATTTCAGCTGTTGACTCTGCAGAATAAAATCGCAGCATCGTGGCATGTGGTCTCACGATAACGTGGTGAAGTTTCCCACAGCACTGCAACTTTGCTTGTCACTGTTGAGGTGTCGCGCTTATTCAGTCCTCAGAATTAGGCTGTCAGGAAGCTTAGTTTTGGAGTTTATGGGATGTGCCTGTGGTCACATGGATCATGGTAGGCAGCAGGCCTAGCTCGGGAGTCTGTGCTTGGTGACGGTGGGAAGGGCTCCATGTATGAGCCCTGTCTGTTTCCACGTTGGTCTCCACTTGCTTTGTGACCTGAGCCAGGTCACTGTGCTTCAGCTTGAAAAGAAGAAATGATAAAGGTCTAAGTATTTATGTAATCCCTTAATAAGACCATACACAGTTTCTGCTCTTATCGTCTGAGTTTCTGGTATTTGGTGCAGTGAAATTATCTTCCTGCAGCCTTGCAAATTATTTCTTTTCTCTATCGGCACTAAAATGTATTTTGCAGATTCTCAAAGAACCGGAGTGTTTCTTAATGTATATAATAAGTTGTTTACGGGATGTTGAGTAATGGTAACTCATGCCTGCCGATAAGAAAATATCAGTGATGACTTTTTAAACTCTTAAGTGTTCATGATATGATTAAATAGTATTAATTTGGGATGCACTGGTATTCTGCGAGGGGCGGTGGGGCTGTTTTCTGGACACTGAAGAATTTTTACTTATAAGCCAATTAAGATAAAGACCAACAACTTACAGGACGGATAAGGGGAATGAAGCAATTAGTACATGGTACAAAGCACAGTGACTCTTGGGCACATCCATCATGATAGGAGAAATGCAAGTAGAAATCCTACTGAGCTGCTACACATTTAGGAGATGAGACAGAAGCCCAAGGAGGGAAAAAACCGAAAAACAAAACAAAACAAAAAAAACCCAGATGCATTCATTTTAAGTGAGTTTGGAGGAACAGAGCTTCTCAGAGTTTGCTGTGAAAGAGCAAGGTGTACGACAGCATGGAAGGTATGGAACAAATTTACTAAAATTACAGGTGTGGTTGCCCGTTCACTCAGGATCTTCACTTCTAGAATTTTTCCTAGAAATATATTGCACAGATAATGTGCACATAAAAGTTTGTGTGGTTTTGCAATAGTATTTGTTTTGTTTGGTGCCGGAGATTGAACTTGGGACCTGTCGCTTGTGAGGTAGGCGGCAGATCCACTGAGCTAAATCCCTGGCCCTGGAATATTATTTAGAATAGTAAAAAGAATAGAAAAAGTTCAAGTGCTGTAGGGTGCACAGTCTCAGGAAGTCCCGTATTTCGGAAGCTGGGACAGGAGGATCCCTTGAGGTCAGGAGTTCAAGACCAGACCGGGCAAGGGCCAGGGATGTACCTCCGTGGTGCTGCACCTGCCTGGCAAGAGCAAGGTGCTGAGTTTGATCCCAGGTACTGGGAATAAACGAAACACCAGAAAGACCAGACTGGGCAGCATGACAAGACTCCATCTTTAAAAAAAAAAAAATCCAAGTGTTTATCAATACAGCACTAGCTAAACGGATTTTGGATATTAATCTAATGAAAACTGTTCAGTTTGGGGAAGAATGACAAAAATCTGCATATCTATATGGAAAGCTGTCCACTGCGAGTCGCAGAGGTCTGTAGGTTCCCTGTGATACTTTATTAGAGAAGAGGTAAATAAGACTCGAGGTTTGTGCTTCTCATGGGTCTGCAAAGACATCTCTGGCAGGTCACACGAATGCGTATTGGAATGAGTGTGTCTGTGTGAGCTTATGGGGTACAAGGGTGGGAAGCAGGGCAGACAGGAGGAGTATGAGCGAGACTGCAACAGAATACTTTTGGGAAAGAAAACTGTGTCTGCATAAACACGGAAAATCTCTTTTCTTGTTACGCTTCCCTCAAGAACACAGTATAACAATTACTCACGGAACATTGTAATTGCAGTGTACTAGGCAGTACAATGTCGTGACCCTTCGAAGCCTGTAGGAGGACGTGTGTAGGTTATATCCGAGTGCTATGCCATTTTATGTAAGAAGTTTGAACATCTATGGGCTTTGGTATCAACAAGGGGTCCCCCATGGATAATGAGAAACAACTTCAGTATTTTTGTCTTCAAAATTTTCAAACATTTGGACCTAAATAAATGTATTACCCAATCCCCCCCCCCAAAAAAAAATCATGCTGTTAAAAATAGAATGTTTCTTTTAATAACTGAAAGGGACCTTAGAATTGGTCTCATCATTTTAACCCCTTCATTTTCTTCTTGAAGAAATTTAGGCTTAGTTACGTGAATTTTGAGGTCCTGAGACAGAGGTTGACTTAAAACCCAACCTAATGCTTTTCCCACATAACCGTATCCATACTTTGCTACAGTTCTAGCTTGTTGCTATATTCGTAAAATCCATCCTTGTCAGTAATTTTGTGGCATTTTGGTGGCCTTAAGTGAGGCTGACAGATGTTTATGAGCCATGACTTTTACATGACCAAAATCGTCTGTATGTCAGCGCAGCTGGTAAGTTACTACTACAGGAGATCTTTCTCCAAGTGTCTATGATTATAACACAATTGTGGTTTTATTTATTTAGCTCCAGCTCCGGAGAGGGAATATATTTATTTTTGCAATTAAACTGAAAAATAATTTAGAGTTAGTGCTAGTGGTGGTTTTTGCAGTGTGGTTTAGTGGTTTCATTTTGAAGCCCTTTGTTATTTGTTGTATCTGAACACAAGGGCTGGAATCATGCTGTGGAACTTTTCCAAGCATCATTCTTTGTTTTGTTAATGTATGAAAGGAGAAGCTTAAAAAAGCTTTACTTTAAATTTGAATTCTGAAGTTTATGTCTAGAACATGTAAGATTTATTATACGTGCTGCCAAGTGATGTCAGATGTTTCCTGTAGATTTTCTGTCCATGTGTTGTGGTGTTCAGATTTCTATGAAAATCACGAGCACTGCTTTGCAATTATGTGTTCCCCGATCTCCAAAAGATCTTACGTGGGACACAGCCAATAAGGCAACAAACATCAGGTGGTACAGGAGAGAGATGTGCAAAGAATGTAGATCTCGATTGCCTTGCTTTGACTATTACTACTTAAAAAGGACGAGATGTCTGAGACAGAGTGGGTAGCAATTTTTCACTGTAATTTTCTGTGTAAGTGCTTCCCTCTTCAGCAAAGGATAGAACCTTGAAGATTTCACCCCCTTAGTTTAAATGCAATAAGCAGCACATCAATATTATAGGCACTATGGATCAAACAGGTCCAGGAATAAACAAGCTAAGCTAAAAGATGTACAGGTGATCAGCCCTGAGTCGCTGTACTTAAATTATTTCATTAACCTTCACAGCATGTAATATGAAAGATCAGTTATAGAATTAGAGGAGGAATAGTTCTACCCAAGAGAATTTTCTGCAGAAAATGTTAAGACTGTAAATTTCTGTTGTAAAACGTGGAAGCAAAGGCCAAAGTAAATGACCTGTTTCAGCATTTGATTTGTCTCTGTTAGATTGAACATTTAATAGATACATAAACTATTGACATAATTTAGAAAGGAAAGATGTGTTTAATTATTTGGGGGGCACATGGCAATGAGTCCCAATTCATATTCTCAAAAGGAAAACCTCAGTCATAAACTGGTGCACAGTCCATTCATTACATTTCAGAAAGTAATATATAGACACTCGTTGCCCTACTTCTTTTCAAAGTTAACATTTTAACATGTTTGATTTAGTTTTTTAAAAAATTAAGTAAAGCATTGCACTGAACACAGAATCATCCTTGGCTCATCTGTTTCTCACACCCTATGTCTAATCCACCAGTGAGTCCTATCAACATTTTCAGCATCCGATGTGTGTTATTGTGGCCACCTGGCCTAGATTACCTAGTTTACCTCTAAGCCCTGCCTGGTTACTGCAGCAGGTCCTCTTTCCCTCCACTGATACTGACACCCTTGGGTTGATCTTGGCAGAGTAGAAATTATACACATCTCCTCTCCTCATACTGTCCAGTATCTTCCACCTTACCCAGTGTCCAAGTTAAGACAGTGATAGCAGCTGACCATG